GCCGGGCGGGCGGCGTAGCGGCTGGCGGGGTTGCGGGAGAGGAACGCGCAGGAACACGCAGAGCGTTTGCGGTGCTCGCGGCGCCGCCCCCGTTGCGGAGCTCCGGGCGGAGGCGGCGTTTGGGGCCCGGGCAGGGGGTCCCGGGGGTGCTCGGGGCCAGCGGGGCGGTCACGGCGGCGGTTTGCAGCGAACGGGGGTGCCGGGGTGCAGGAGGAACGCGGGGGGCTCGGGGGAGCTGCGGGGTCTGGGGGCAGCCCCGGGGCCCGGCGCCGCGCTCACCCCGCCGCCCCGCAGCCCACCGTGGTCGTGGAGCGTTGGTGGCAGGTGCCGCTCAGCAAGGAGGGCCGGGAGCCCCGTTTGCACCCGCGGCGCCACCGCATCTACCGCCTGGTGGAGGACACCAAGCACCTGCCCAAGAAGGAGCTGGAGCTGATCCTCACGCAGTCGGTGGAGAGTAGGTGCCCTCGAGAGCCGCTTCCTTCCCGCAGCAGAGCGCGGCCAGCACCGCGGGGAGACGCCGAGTCCGCCTGTGCCCCGCTCCGCGCGTCTCCACTCAGCCGCGCTGCCGGAACGGGGATCGTCACCATTTCACTGGGCAAAATCTTTGGGAATGCCGCAGCCACCGGGCTTTGGCACCCGCTGGGCAGGATGTGTCTCGCTAGCCCCGTCTTGTCCTCGTTTCTTGATGCAGATTTGGGAAACCGGGGAGACGTGGTCTTTGTGAAGAAGTCCCTGGGTCGCAACAAACTGCTGCCGCAGGGGCTGGCCGTTTACGCGTCGCCCGAGAACAGGAGGATGTTTGAGGAGGAAAAGCAGGTGAGCGGCTCCTGCCGTGGAGGGAGGGCGGCTCTTTGCTCGGCGCTGCGAGAGGCTCTGCCCCGTGTAGCTCTGCCTTCATCTGCAGGCAGCGGGGGTCGTGTCGGATCTCGAGATTTTGGGGCAAATTCAGCAAGTCTTTGGGGATGCGCAGCCTCCGAACGAAATAGCTGCTCTGTTATGAGCGCAGCTGGGGCGTTTTCAGCGCGTTGCAGCTTCGTAGCGTTACGTGCCGTGTCTCTTTCCACCGTGTTCGTGTTTCCCGGTCTTCAGTTTGCTCCGCACCTCCTGCGATCCTAACGGGCAGCACGTAGGAATGGCAGGAGTTATTTGAAAGGCAACGGGTAGGAAACAGGCCGGAAAGTTCCTTTTGGGATCACGGGACGGGTCGCGCCCTGTCCTTGAGGCGATGCTCAGTAGACACCCGGGCCGCCCACGCCCGGATGAGCTCATTCCATCAAGGAAATTCTCCGCAGAGCCAGGACGTAACGCGGGAGGGTTGGCAGCGGCAGATGCTGGATTTGCTCTTGAGCAAACGGACCCTTTGGGAGCTTTTCCGGCGGCGCGGTTCCCGCGGGCAGCCGGCTGGGACGCACCTGGCGAGGCCGTCGCTGCAGGTTTCTCCTCGCTGCCTCTCTTGTAGCTGCGCCAGGAAGGGAAGCTGGAGGCCGTCCAAACACAGAGCGGCGAAAAGGTGAGAGGAGGGACCGAGCCCGTCCAGAGTTGTTCCAGGGAAGTCCGTAAGTCCTGGAAAGCACATCCAGAAACTCCCTGGCTACCAGCAAGGGCCGGGAACCGTCTCCCTCCATCTGCAGCTCCCTGTGCTTCTCCCCGCACTTCCCTGACGGGCAAGGCCTGATCTGCAGGCGCTGGGGAGATGAGCGAGGCTCTGCCTTCCTAAAGCACCCAGGGGCGCAGGAGGAGGCTGGGGGTTCACTCAGGTGGCTGCGCCTGTAGCCTCAGCCTGTAGCGCACAACTGGGAGCCAGTTTGACACAGAAAACAGCCTGCCGGCCACAGCCGGCGTGGGGCTTCGCTAGTGTCGAGCCGCTCGCTTGGCGCCGAAGCGCTGTCCCCGCTCTTCCTCACCCCGCGCCCCTCGTCCCACCCCGCAGACCATCCGGTTCCTCAGGAGCTGCCGCCTGGAGGTGGGAATGAAGAACAACGTCAAGTGGGAGCTGAACAACGAAATCGTGGCCCGCCACTTCTTCAAAAACGTTCGTGTTCGCTGGCACGCGTGCGCTGAGCTCGGCCGGCCGGGGGGTGCTGGGCTGGGGGGCTCTGCTTGTGGGCCGAGACGTGGGCTCAGTCCCGCTGGCTCCCGGTGACGGGCCCGAGCGCCTCTTCATTAGTCTGGGCCTGGTTTTTGGCTCAGCCCCGCAGCCAAGCTCTGCGCTGGGCTGTACTGAGCGGCTCAGCAGAGATTTAAGAACTTAAGGGATTAAGAAAAGGAGATGATAAATGGGGAACGGGGGCCGCTTCTCTTTCCGTCCCTACCACGTTATAAGTCAAGCTGGCGCTGGCAGGAGTCGCACAGCGCTGGTCAGCGTCTCTGAGCCCGCCGTTGCCTGTCCCGCGTGGCCGAGACTGGCTCCACGTGCCCCTCCTTCCCATTCCCTCCACTGCCGTCACCCTGGGATATTCTCCGGTCCCCAGTACCCTGTCATTGCGCGTTGTAGCCGCCGGTTCACTCGGGCTTGTTCCGCAGCTGCGGGTCTTCGTGCCCCCCCACGTGCTGAAGCTGCCGGAGGAGCCCATCACGAGGTGGGGCGAGTACTGGTGCGACGTGACGGTGAGTGACGCCCCGACATCTCCGCCCCTCGCCGGCGCCGCGGGAACCCCCCGTGACCTAGATAAGCTGCGAGCGCGCCTCCTCGCGCGCTTCCATTCATCGCTCGTCCTTCCCAAGCTCTCGAGGGAGCGGAGCCGGCGCAGAAGCTGCAGCGCAGAGCTCTGAAACGGTGTCAGCGCCGCCGGGCTCGTTTCGTGTGGACTCCTGCTTAATTTGCTCTGCTGATTTTTTTTGGAGCTGGAGCAGAGGAGGGAGTGGGTTGGGCAAGAGAAAATCCAAGGGGACTTTCAGTTGCAGCCAGGCAGGTTAGGGAGGCACTCGGGATATCTGGAAGGGACTCGGAGGCTCCTAGTGTCTCCCCTTAGCTGGTGTTTTAGGAAAAGGGAGACTGTTCAGCCAGGGAAATACAGCCACGCGTGGCGGGGCGTTCAGGACAGGTCCTCCTGCGTGGGGAACCGGCGCGGCGCGGCCGAGGGCTCGCGGAGGAGCTTCCTCTGCTGGGCCTGACGTCCTTCCCTGTGCGCTGCAGGTGAACGGGCTGGAGAGCGTCCGCGTGCCCATGTCCGTGGTGCCCTTCATGCGGCCCAAGACCAAGCGCTACAAGCACTGGCTGGCCCTGCAGGAGGCCCAGCTGGCGGCCAGCAAGGAGCAGCTGCTGTGAGCGCCGCGCGGCCCCTCG